TTTAAAAATTTTTTAAAATTTATTTTATTTCAGTATTTTTTGTGTGTACCATCAAATCAGATTTGACTGGTACAGGAGGAGATTGCTACTCCTTCTCCAGCAGAGCGTCTGGTGGATTCAAACCATCCATCTCTGAGACTGCAGTTGCAGCTTCTTGCCGCTAGGCCACCAAAGCTCGCCTCAAAACTCAATGTGCTTTTTAAATTCAGGTAGGATAGACTAAGATCCTATTTTGGTTTTTGTGAACTTGTTTTCATTTTCCTCATCCTTGTTTTAATTTTTCTCATGCTCAGTTTGAACTTGAGCCTGAGTTGAGTGATGGTCTTTTTCATAGTCAGCACTTGGCCTAGGTTTGGCTGGTTATGTTGAACTTCTTCAGTGATTCCTGGCACCAGTGTAGTCAATCTTATTTGTATACAGTCTATCTGGTGAGGTCCATGTATAAAGTTGCTTTTTGTGTTTTTTTTAAAGGTATTTGAGATGAATAAATAATTGAATATACAAAATTCAATCATTCTTTTTCCAGCCTCATTTCTGTTATCAAATCTGTACTTTCTGATTACATTTCCTTCTTCATTGTTTCCAACTCTTATATTCCAGTCACCAGTTATCATTAACACATCCTAATTGCATGTTTGTTTAATTTTGTACTGCAAAATTTGGTAAAAATCTTTGATTCCCTCTTCTTTAGTTTTTATTTTCCCCCCTCCTCTTTAGTTTTAATTGTGGGTGTATATATTTTAACAATAGTTGTATTAACAAGTCTTCCTTGTATGTGTAGTATATGGATAATATACTATCCCTCACAGCATTGTACTTTAGGAAAAAAACAACACTTGAAATTGAGCAGGCAAGAGTCAGCAAGGGAAGGAAGCATTTCGACCCCTCCTTTTCTGGGCAATGATTAAGGATGACAGAAGAATCTATGCTTTTGAGTTCTGGTACTGGAGAAAGGTCTTGAACATACCATGGACTGCCAAGAAAACAAATAAGTCTGTCTTGGAGAGGGTGAGACCAAGTTTCTCCCTGAAGGCTAAAATTTTGAATCTCTGTCTTACATACTTTGGGCACATGGCCAGGAGGGACAGTCCCTTGGAGAAGGACATCATGCTCGGAAGGGACAGTGCAGGAGAGGAAGACCTTGAATGAGATGAACTGATACAGTAACTGGGGCGATGGGGGTAGGTGTGTTGGGGTCAGTGAGACTGGCTCAAGACAGGGCAGGTTTCAGAGCTGTTGTACACAGGGTCATTGTGAGTAACAACTACAACTTCTATCTTCCTTCAGGTAGAACTCCTTCCCTTAGATAAATTAGACTTCAATAAATTAAAGCTTTTCTGGTTCCAAGGACTCTATCTAGAAAGTAGACATTCCACAAAATGTGAGAGAATATTTGAAAATCGTATATCTGGTAAGGAATTTCTATCTAGATTGTAGGTAGGATTCTTAGAATTCAACATTAAAAAAGAAATAGCTCAGTTGAACAAAATGGGCAAAGAATTGGAATAGTTATTCCTCTGAAGTAAATAAACAGCCAACAAGTATGTGAAAAGATAGTCAAAACACATGTAGAGATATATGCACATCCATGTTTATTGCAGCATTATTTGCAATAGCAAAAAAATGGAAGCAAACCAAGTGACAAATAACAAATGAATGTATAAGGAAACCATAGTACATTTGCACACTGGAGTTCTCTCCAACATTGTAAAACAATGGATTACTGTGAAATAATCCATAAAATGGATTAATCTAAAGGGTACTATCTTGAGTGAAATATTGTTTTGTTATGTGCTGCCAAGTCACCTGTGACTCATAGCGACCCTATGTACAACAGCCTTAAACCCTGCTCTATCCTGTGCCAATCTTACTGTCTCCGACACACATACCCCCATTACCCTAGTCACTGAATCAATATATCTCATTGAGGGTCTTCCTCTCCTGCACTGTTGTTATGCCCTCCCAAGCACAACGTGCCTCTCCAAGGACTAGTCCTTGCAACATGTCCAAAGTATGTCAGCCAAAGCTTCAGAATCCTTGCCTTCAAAGAACAGCCTGGTCTCATCCTCTCCAGGATGAACCTGTTTGTTCTCCTGGCAGTCCATTGTATATTCAGTACTCATCTCCAGCACCACAGCTCAAAGGCATCAATTATCCTTTTATCATCTGTAGTCCTTGTCCAGCTCTCTGATGCATAGCAAGTAATTGCAAAGACCATGACCTGTATCAAGCTCACCTTAGTCTCCAGACTGACATCATTGCTCTTCAGTACTTTGGAGAGGTCTCTGACAGCAGACTTTCCCAAATAAGCCAGTAAAAAATGATCACATTTAGTATAGGGGCTGCTGTTGTAATTAGTTTTATGAAAACAAATGTCCATGAAAGATTAATTGAAAACCTTTATGTTCTGTCAACTTCACTCAAAGCAATAAAAGAAGATAGTCAAAGAAACAATGAGGTAAATCTCATGATGAATATGATGTATTTCTTCAAAGAGATAAACAATGAGTGTAAAGAAACCTCATACATTGCTGATGGATGGCCTAATGCTAAGGAGCTATGCTCTCAATCCAAAGGCTTACGGATCCATGCTGCTCCCTGGGAGAAAGATGGTTACTCAAATCCCATGAGATTTACTGACTCTGAAAACCCACTAGAAAGTCAGCTATGAGGTGGTTCTGAATTGATGGCACATAAGAACAACTGTGGAAAATACATTGACATTCTGCATGGAGTGATCATGTAATCTAGCAATTCTACTCCTGAATAGAATGCTCAATAGAATAGGATACATTTTCTACTGATTATGAGTACTCCTCCTCTCATAGTTATCTTGGGCTGATATAATGGGAATATGAAAGGAAATTAAGGGAAAGGCCCTATCTAATAAAGAGATGATTAGCACAATATTATTAAAGAAAGGGAAGATGCAGAAAGATATAGAAGAATTGATGGAAATCAGCATTATAGGACATAGGGAAAATGCAATTATATTGTGGGAGTTGAAATTAATTCTACTGAACAAAATGTATATGAGTGATTGAATGAAAAACTAATTTGCTTTGTAAACTTTCACTGAAGTCATGATAAAAATAAGTTAAAAAGAGAATAAAGATCTTATCTGAGTTTTAGCTCAGATTCAGTCTTACAACAACTTGCTATCTCTTCACTAGCTCTAGCCCTTGTCTACCTGCAGTTTATTGTTAGCAAAACAGCCAAAGTGTTGAATACTTTATAACATAAATATCATGTTATTAATCCTTTGCTCAAATATTTCCCAAAGCTTCTCATCTCATGCAGAAACAAAAATTCTTAAACTAACTTTTAAAGTCTTGAACAATTGGTTTTCTGGGTTTTATCTTCAGTATTCTTTCCCGTAATGTCTCTATACCTGAATCAACATTATTATGTGGACACACTCTTACCTTAGGGTTTTGTAGAGAATTTGTTTCTTTTTGTATGGAATACTCTTCTCTCAGCTGGCTATCTGGTTCATTTCCTTATATCTTTCAAGGTTTTTGTCTTCTCAGAGTGACCTACCTTGATCACTCTATTTAAAAATTCAGACTTCTGTCCAGTACTTTCTCCCTGCTTTCTCTTTTCTCTGTAGCATTTGTCTATCTCTGACCTGATGTGTGTGTGTGTGTGTGTGTGTGTGTGTGTGTGTGTGTGTAAAGTACCATCGAGTAAGAACAAGCACAAGCTGATGCTCCAATGGATTTTCAGAGACTGTTCATTGCAAGGGAGGAGACTGCCTATCCTTCTCCTGCAGAACAGCTGGTGGATTCAAACCACCAGCTTTCAGGATTGCAGTGCAGTTTCTCACCACTAGGCTGCCAGAGCTCTATATATGTGTACATGTACTTTTAAAAAATTATTTTATTTATTTTAATGAACATTTACAGAGATTTTGGATTTCCATTCATTCATTGTTGCACTTTTCTCTTTGCCTGTCCGTCCCCCCAGTTTGCTCTTCTCTTTGAAAAGTAAAATTCCTTCACTGGTATACAATCCCCCCACTTTTTCTTTTTTTTTTAAACTTACACTTTCTTTCTCTCCAGCTGGAGTGTAACCACCAGGTGGGTAGTAATTATTTGACCATTTTGGTGATAGCATCTCCCTAGGGCCTAGAAGAGGGCCTAGAACATAGTAGTGTCCAAAAGTACTTGTTCAATGAATGAATGAATTCTCTATTACCTAATGTTAAAACATGTATCACTTCCATAAGCATGAAACTTTTGGTTTGTCCCTAGTCTAGAAGACTTTCACCTGTTAAGAGACAAAGGAGTTAAAGCTGTTATTTTACTAAAGATATTTGTAGTTATTAGACATTAAATTCAGTGTATTTTAAGAAATGTACTGTGTTAAGAAATGCCTTGGGTATGCCAGTGATAACCTACTGCTCTTCCATCTTTCATATCCACCCTTCTAACAAAACTAAAACAGAACTATTACACATACAATGCCCTTATATATACTGAAGTCATCCATGTTGAGAATAGTCATTAGTTTTGAGGCAATTATAATGTAACTCTTCTGGGTTACTTGAGGATCAAAGCAATGAGGAATCACTGAGAAAATGTCTTTTTCAGTGGGTGCATTGGCTGTCAAAAGTCAAGTCTTTCTTAAAACATTCTTGTGTAGTGTCTTTGACCTCATGAAGAACACTTTAAGGTCATCCTCAATATTTTCCTCGATGCAGCCTTCATTTCCTTGTTCCGTAAACTATAAATCAGAGGGTTTAAGAATGGAGTGACTACAGAATAAAATAAAGTTATAATCTTTTGAATATCAGCCACGTTATCAGACATGGGACTCACATACATCGCCAAGAGGGCCCCAAAAAAGAAACACACTACTGTCAGATGTGATCCACAGGTGGAAAAGGCTTTTTGCCGGCCAGCTGCTGAAGGGACTTTTAATACAACTCTAAGCAAAAGGGTATAGGAGCCAAGGATGTACAACAGAGTGAGGATGATAATGAGGGAGCTCAGTACGTAGAAGATTATCTCAGTAATAGGAGCGGGAGCACAGGAAAGAGCCATCAATGGGTCCATGTCACATAAGAAGTGATCAATGATGTAGGGTCCACAGAAAGACAACTGGGAGAGTTGTACTGTGGAGACTGAGTAACTAAGAAACCCAAATACCCAGCAAAGGGACATCAAGATATAGCAAAGTTGTAAAGTCATGATGGTTGGGTAGTGCAATGGGCGGCAGATGGCGAGGTATCGGTCATATGCCATGATGCAAAGGAAATATGTCTCAGTTGTCCCAAGGGAAGTAAAAAAATATAACTGGAGGAAGCATCCAACAAAAGAGATGGTTTTTGTCTCTGAGAGGAAATTGGCCAGCATACTGGGCACAGTGGAAGTGATGTACCAAATTTCAAGGAACGCAAAATTCCCCAGGAGTATATACATTGGAGTGTGGAGCTGTTGGTCCCACTTTACGGCACAGACGATGATGCCATTTCCTATTATGGTAAATACATAGACTCCAAAGAACAGTGAGAAGTAGAAAATTTGCATCTCCTGGCCACCAGGAAAGCCTAGGAGGATAAATTTGGTCACAGTGTTTATCACTGAACTGTTCATAAGTTCCAGGGCTGCAGGGGAGACAGAGAACACTATTATCCAAGTTGTTTTGACACCTGAGAAAAGCTGTTGGAAAACTATGAATGGCACATATGCTAATTATTTGGCAATTAGCTTGAAAAATCCATTCATTGCCTTTAACTCTTCCTTAAAAGAATCCAAATGAGTCTAAATTTCAATAAAATGGGATTGATAGCAATAGAATATACTTTATAGATTTTATTAATGACAAAATTAAAGAATACTCTTTGAAATTTTGAAAACTTGAAACCCCTCTTCCACCTCTATGAAAGGCAGCAAAGTGGCTTTCAATTTTTTTCTTTCACACCCATAGGAGTGGGATGTGAATATGTTTTTTCACATCTCTCACTCAGTGGTATATGTTGTTAAGTGCTGTTGTGTATGACTTCTAGCTCATTGTTGTAGATCTGAACCCCGTCCTGTCCTGTGCTACCCTCCCCATCTCTGGTATACCTGATCCCATTGCTGCAGCCACTGTGCCAAAACCATCTACTGAAGATCTTCTTGTCTTTTGTTGACCTTCCACCTTTCCAAGCAAATAGTAAATATTTGACAAATAATCTAGAGCTGTGAATGTTTATTTTATGTTGTTTTTCTGAGGTATTCCCATCTGAATAATTTTCTTTTAATACTATCTATATTATTAAATTATAAGGCTTCACATAGAAACCAAAAAGTCATAGTAATGGTCTTCTGGGGGGTAGAGAATTGATAATTAATAAAGAAATGTCCTTTTACTGACTTCAAGCTTTAATTTCAAACTCCTAATTTTTCAATGGAATCTACTCTAAGCAAATAGAGATTTTTAAGTAATTTTACCATAAATCTGTTAAAAATTAAAAAAAATAAGTAAAAATTATGGATTGGTTACTCACAACTAATCATTCTTATGTTATCCAGATAGTGTAAATGATAGATTTCCACAAGTCTCACTGCAATTGAACCTGCAGGAAATTCAGAATCTTAGTAAGCCCAGAAAGGCCAATTTTCAAAGTTAAACAAACAAGCAAAATAATTCTAAATGTTGATAAAGATCAATTCTAGTTAAGCACCCATATTTGCTTATGTTGATACACAAAACATATATGTGAAAAATATTTAACAAGCTTTACACAAATGTAAAGATATTTATTAAAATTAGGTTATTTGGTATAAAATGTAAACTTCTCTAGAATGCTTATGCTTGTTATTTTGGTTTATTTGCAAGACGTTGTTTTAGGTGCCATGGAGTTAACTAAGACAACACTGATTCTAACAACAGATCTGAACCTTGCCTGTCCTGTACTGTCCTCACAATCTCTGTCGTGAACATAATCAGATTTAAAGTTTCCTTTTGAAGAATAGAAACTCCTTTGTGAAAAATAATTAAGAACATAAAAAATATGGAAACAGATAATGAAAAATGAGAAGTAATTCCACTTCCTAGAGAAAATAATTTTAACTCTCTGAACTGTTGTTTCTCTCATTTCTTAAAAAAGGAGATTTTAAAAATATTTCATAAGCTGTTTTTCAGTTTAGTATGTTTTATTCTACTTTCTGTGTGAAAAAATGCCTCTATATTATCAATTAAACCACAACTTTGTCTTCTAACCCATAATTTTAATAAACTTATAGTGATAGATTTGTATTAATAAAAGCAATTTATAATTATTAAAAATTGGAGTGATTAGATTAAACAATATAAAGTATCCTAGTTTTTTTTTTATTTCAGATGTGTTTATACCTATCTTAAAGCAAGTTAGACCAAATGTTGTTGTTGTTGTGTTGTGCCATTTAGTCACTTGCAACTCATAGCGACCATATGTACAACAGCCCTAAACCCTGCTCTATCCTGTGCCAACCTCACTGTCTCTGACACACCTACTAGCATTACACCAATCACTGAATTAATTCATCTCATCGAGGGTCTTCTTCTCCTGCACTGTCTCTCCACCCTCCCAAGCATGATGTCCCTCTCCAAGGGCTGGTGCCTCATTGCAACATGCCCAAAATATGTCAGACAAAGCTTCAGAATCCTTGCCTCCAAGGAGCAGCCCAGTTTTACTCTCTCTGGGACAAACCTGTTTGTTCTCCTAGCAGTCCATGTATATTCAACACTCTTTGCCAGTACCATGGTTCGAAAGCATCAATTCTCTTTCTATCATCCTTAGTCACTCTAATATTACTGCACTTAATTCCATGTACAACATTTACACAGCAAGTTATACATGAATCTTTATAACATGCAACATAAGGAACAAATTACACGTTTATGTTTTCCATTCTAAACTGAAAATTCATCCTTATATTTTCAGTTGATTAAGTTTCTGATTCACAGTAGCTATGAGTTGAATGAATTGATGCTCATGTTAAGTGCTGTGGAGTAGACAAGGATTCACAGTGACTCCATGAACAACAAGTCAAAACCTTGTACTATCTTTGCCATCCTTATGATCTCCACCATGAATTAATATATTAATAAATTTTACATATGCCATCTTGTCACCAAAAGTTAAACTAAGTTTCACAACACAACCATTGCTCCATTTCCAATCTGTGATCGTTGAAGAGAATCTTGTGTGACTTACCAAACGTGGCATCAGAACCATGTGACCCACACTAGTCCTAGTCCCACCTTCCTCATATCCCTGCCATCCTCTAGGGTCTGCTCTAAATTTAAGGCTCTCCAATTCTTTACTCTGTTTTATATTTTCAAATCAACAATTGATACTTTTCTCAGTACTTCTTATTCTTTTTTTTTTTTCCAAAGTGCCATTCTCTTCTGTGCTTGTTTCTTAGCAGACAGTTCTTTCCATTTATCAATCCATTTAGCATTTGTGAAGGCTAGAAATTTGTGAGTTATTCAGGATGCTTTCCAATTCTGTCAGTTCTCATATGGAATGTGGAAGAAATGGGCAATCTCCTCCCATTCCATTTACAGCTTCTGAAACCTTCTGGAGGGTCGTAGGAGTTGGTTTTGAGTTGATGACCCATAATTGCGATATGCCTTACAGATTTAATAACTAAATTCTGTTGGTTTTCCCTCCCAAATGTTTCTCAAATTTTTTCTGAGCATGTAGAGTATAAGTGTGCTTTTCTTGTTTGAATAAAACAGTAGTGGAGTACAGCAACCGCACATCGACCTAGGAAGAAAAGTGGGCTGCTGCCTAAGAAGAATGAAGAATGCAGGGTTGTTGTTTTTTTAAAAACAGAACTAAATGTATTCTTTTTGGTGGGCTTTTTCTTTTTTTAAATTAATTTTAATGAACACATTCATTGTTGTATTTTTCTCCCTGCCCACCTCTACCCTCAGTTTGCTTTTCTCTTTGAAAAGTAAAAGAAAAATTATTTCATTGGTATAGAATCTTCCCCCCAGCTCCCACCATCCCGAGTACACTCCACTATGCAACCTTTATTCTGGACTCTTGTCATAACCATAATACCCAATCATATATCACTTTCAAACAGTTCTCTCCCTCATCTGTCTCAATGCAGTAAACATAATTTATCCAATTTTTCTTTCAGTCTCACCCCAACCCTGATATCAGTCCTGTTCTACAACAGTGACATTATGCAGTGTTTGTCCTTTTGTGACTGAGATATTTCACTCAGTATAATGTCCTCCAAGGTCACCCATTCTGAATAATATTGCATGAGTTTTAAGGAGAAAGGTGAGAAAGGAAGAGAAAATATACTTTGGCAACCTATGGAGTGTCACAGCTCGGACATGTGCACAACTCAGAGACTCAGTCTAGTCATACTAAACTAACTCAGCAGTCCTTTTATGTTGCAAACTTAATGAAAAGGAAATGATAAAGTAAAATTGATTTGGGTTCAAGTACTATATCGTCAAGGCAGCTCTGGTGGTGTAGTCTGTAGGTTGGATAAAGACCTTTCTTCACTTTTGGCTCAAATAGATTAATGGTTCTTCAGGAGAAAGAAAGATAAGCAATCACCTTTCTTGTGATTTACAGTCCTCCATGACTCACTAGAAGGTCAGTTATATGTTGAATCTGACTCAGTAGCAAAGCGTTTTAAGTGACTATATGACCAACTTAGTGAACTTGGGCAAATTAAGTTATCTTACAGGCCTCTTGTGAAAATATCATTCAATGCATATGTCTACCATAATACTTGCATAATACAAGGAACTAAAGAAAAAAGTTACTGTTGTTACTAATAACACAACATTCATTCCTTATTTATTGTCTTGGTTAAGTCCTATACACCAGGTTGTTAGGTAAAGACTGGGGTTCTGTGAAAATAAAGGATAACTACATTAGATAACAAAAGGAGGACAATATTTTTATATACCTTCCAAACCAATAAGAATCCTATGGCCCAGCTAAAGTAATATGTAACCATAACCATCACAGTACTTTGTACCCCAGAGTGCTAAAAAACAATGATGTAAGGTGCTCCTGATCCAGGCCATGGTCTTCAAAATTACTTTCTATACATTAGAGATCTGGACAATCAATGAATAACTAAGTGGGGCAGAAAAAAAATTGATGCCTTTGAGTTGTTGTATTAGATGAGAGCATTGGACATAGCATCAACTACCAAGAGAACAAACAGATTTGTCCTGGAGAGGGACCAAATTGCTCCTTTGAGGCAGGGATTTTGAAGCTCTATCTCACATACTTTGGGCACGTGGCCAGCAGAGACCAGTGTTTGGGGAAGGACAACATGCTTGGAAGAGTGGAGGGACAGGGCAGGAGAGGGAGACCTGGGATGAGGTGGATTGACAGTAACTGGGATAATGGAGGTAATGTGTCAGAGTCAGTGAGATTGGCTCAGGAAATAGCAGGATACAGAGCTACTGTGCAAAGGATTGTTATGAATCGCAGGCGACTCAATAGCATATAACAACAACAACAACTTGCTACTGCCAGAGACATGCCATTAATATGCAAAATAGTTAAGACAGATATTTTCTTTTTTACTATTGTCACACGGTCAACACTCTTGGCACCAGCAGTCAGGAAATAAAAAAAAACGTATTGCGATGGGAAAGTCTGCTGTTAATGACCTCTCTAAAGTACTCAAGAGCAACGGTGTCTCTCTGGAGACTAAGGTGCACCTGATACAGGCCATGGTCTTT